ACCACTATTTGTTGATATAATGGATTCTTTTAGATAAGGAGTTTGGAGACATCCAAGGGCTATAAAAGAGTGATATCAATGATGATTGTGATGGCTTTTTTCTCTATTTGTAAGCTTCTAAATTAAGTAGCTATTAATAGAGCAAATATTAATTATATAGTAGAATTGAGAAAGCTATATATGATGCTCTAAGGGCTAATAAATAGTCAAATTCTTGCGTAATTAATTGTTTCTATTAATGTTGTTTATATAATGATTATAGCGATTGATAGCGTAGGGAATAAAGAGCTATGCAATGGCTTGAAACTAGAACAAGTCAATAGTTCATAGATTACTAAAATTTGTGAGCTTCCAAATCAAGTAGCTATTAACAGAGCAAACGTTAATCATATAGTAGAATTAAGGGAGCCATATACGATGCTTTAAGGGCTGATGAACAGTCAAATTCTTGCGTAATTGATTGTTTCTATCAACGCCGTTCATATAATGGTTATAGCGATTAATAGCGCGGGGAATAAAGAGCCATTTCTCAGCCGAATCGCCGAAAACAGGTCGTACAATTCGAGCGTTTGTTGAGGTTGGAGAGGGTCGTTTTCGAAGGCGTTCGATTGTGTTGTTTTTGAGGCAGAATGCAGTTGTAATGCATAACACGGCGTTGTTATCCTGTCATAGAAAACAGAGGGTATAACCAACGATTTCTGCAAGAGTAGAGTTTCACACAAGACCACGGTTATTATTCTTCATCTTAACCAGCCAATTAGGGACCCCCTGAGCATTTTTTCGAGTAGTACCTGTACAACAGATATTAAGGGCCAACAAAGCATACGCGACAGTAATATTCAAGAAGAGATTATCTAAATAAAGGTAGTAAACATAATAAGGATGATACTCACGTAGCCTTTCTGCTAATCAAATAACAAGAGCATACGTTAGCGCTAAATGTATCGTTTTTGGACCAATTAGGATTAATTAATTGACTATAACACCATGTTTAGGAATATCCTCAGGGCCATTATCACCACTATGCCACAACTAATTATATGCATAGCCGTTATCTGCAAGGACCTATACTTTGTATCCCTTAGCAATAGGCTTGTTTGGCAGTTTGACTGTATAGGCATCCAAATAACAGCGAGGGGGATAGAACTTCAAGGTGGCACGCCTCCGAATATTTTGGTATATATTTTATTATTCTACACCCTATTTCTGTCGTCCCACACCCAAATCCTAGTGGAAAAGGCGGCGGGTTTGGAAAACAGGCTTTAAATCTCAGATGATCAGCTAAGTTTTCACATAGCGGTTGTGTCTTCCCTTCCAGCAGCTACCTAACCTTCGGGCGGTGGTGAGTGGAGTACAACCGTGAACTTTTTGTGTTTTTTAGTGAAGCTAGCTCTTATAACTAAAGGGAGTGGGTTCGAAACTGGGTCTGTTCATGGGCTTTTTTGTGGGGTTATTTTGCTGTTCGTCTTGACCTGTTGTTACCATCGTAAGAGATGCTGCTGGCAAGCCGTTGAAAACATAAAGAATCTCTCTCTCTCTCTACCTACCTAGCGCAGTGGTTTTCCTTAGGTCACATTCTAACAATACTTTTTACCTGGAGGGGTGACTGCTCTCCCTCAATACCATTGACTCACGCCAACCATGCCCCTGTTGACCGCTCCTGTCACCCTTTTTTTTCCCCTCTTATTCGCGTCTTCAATTCTTCGATAGCTGCCGTGGTTTTGAGGCTTGAAGCGACTATTTCTGTATATATTCTTTCCAACGATTCCTCTTCCTTTTGTGCCCCCTTACAATCACACTGATTTCGAAGCCAAATCTCCCGCTCTGCCACTTCACCCCTTCCGCATCCTTTGCCAGCGGCTGCTCCAAAGCTCAACCTCGCCATTGCAGGCCTTGACCGGATGGGGGGGGGCTCGTCACGCGTCAATCATTTTCACAATCTGACACCTCGTGCCAATCTTGTGGCAGCCGCCTTACCTGACGAGAAAGAACTGGCTTGGGCATCCCGAGCGCTGGAGGGGAGTTCGACTCCACCAAGACTACGGTGCGATGCTGAGGGAAGAAAAGGCAAGAGCTCTCCAAGCAGTCGTCATATCGAGCGCTATACCCGTCCATGCCCGATCAAGTCATCAGGACCATCGAGATGAGTGCCCATGTCTTGTACGAGAAACTCTTCAGCACCAGTGTAGAAACCGTGAGACTCGCCAATCCTTCTCCCCCTCTATCAACCACCTACCCACGATTCCTTCCTCGTCCCAATCTGTCTGCACCGCCTATCGAAGATCTCAGAGGAAACACACCCCCTCCCAGAAAGCCAGCTGCGACATCCCCCGCAGCTTCTCCGCCTCCTACCGTGACGCCGCACGCGAAAATACTTACGCTCCAGGCTGATCGGCCGGCCCGCGCGGATCTTCCGCTCCCAAACCTGCGAAACAAAACTCGACGGCGTCCCGGCTTCTTCGTCGCCTACTAGTTATGCGCGATTTCTCCGGCGGGGGATCTCCGTCGAACGACCGCTCCATCCACGCCATCGACCGCGCGCTGTGGGTTTCCTTCTTCGGGAGGATGATTCCGTGGGGTCCAGGCCCAAAAGCGTCTCTGTCTGTGCGGGTGGGGCACTACGGCTGTGCTGTGGGGCCCGAATTGAGGAAAAAACAAGGACGGTGACAACGCAACGCAAATCGCAATCGCAGTCGCAATCGCAGTCGCAATCGCAGTCGCAATCGGCATGATCGAGTCCCACGGCGGCGGGGGAAAGATTGCATAGCTTTTTTTTGTAGTCTGCATGAGGGGTTGCAGGTCAGGAAGAGCTTACAGAGAGATAATGGGGCCCGGGGGGGTTGAGCATCAACACCAACCCGGCCGCCAACCACGGCAATATCCACGAGCCGTCCGGCATCGGGGCGGGAGATGCCTGCCTCCGCACTATCATGCCGGGTTTGGAGAGGCGTTCAATACCGGGGCGAATGAGGTCACGGCTTGTTTGTTGTCTCGATGGCACGGAGTCGCCGATGAATGAGATTGGGAAGGGGCGGTTAAGGTGGTCGGATTGGGTGTGTGTTGCAGGAGAGTTTGATTACGGCTAGGGAGATTGAGTTGGATGAGATGGGCAGGAGGGTGGGGAGGCCGGAGGGTTTGGCGAAGTTTTAAGGCGGTGGGTGGGTGGGCTGGACGGGGATGTCCTGAGGGCTTGTGGTCAAGGCTGTAGGGAAGCATTGCCTGAAAGGGGAAGGTAGACGTACTTGGTGCACGGGTCTTTGGATTTGGTTTCTTGTGGAGATCGAACAGATACAATTTGACCTGATAGCGAGAACTTCAGGTCCATCACGGCATTGAAAGATAGATAGAGGCACGGAATCACGTTTAGTGTGTTTCTTTTGGTGATATGCTGCTCTGAGGCCTAGTTAAATCAGCACAGCTGATCTCCCAGCACCCCGTGCGGTCACATGTAGTGCCAGAACCACGACCAGAGTCTCAACACCCCCCCCCAACTCCAGCTCCACTGCTAAAAACGCAACCCACGACCGGACCATGCTGTTGTGTGTTGGATGAGAACGAATGAATGCCCGTTTGACAAGCATAACGAGTGTGTCCTGATAGCTCTTGGCAGGTTCGGTGAAAGTGGGCCACGAGATTTCAAAAGTACCGAAAATTTGGCGCATGGGGATCGAGTGCGCAAAGCTTGGAAAAAATCCCTCGGGGCCCAGGCTCAGTTAACGACAGTTGGTTCGAGGGTGGGAGACTGGGTGGATTTATGGGTATCCCTGACCATGACCGTTTGCGGCAACAGCTTCGACGCCGCGGTCTTCGAGCGCTTGGGCATCATGTTCGTGGGTTGGATGATATGCTTCCCGTTTGGCAAGAGAGTTGGCTGCTTCGTTGAAGGGGACTGCAACCGCGAAGGCGATAAGAGTGATCAAGGTGAGGATGATGGACTTCATGTTGTTGGGTTTTTGGTGTTTGGTGGGGTACTGGGGGCTTGTCTGGTCTAAGATGGGTTCTGAGAAAGTTTGCTTGTTCGATCTTGGGTGGATGAGGGAATGTTCTGGACATTGGGAGCCCTTATATACCTCTCAGAAATGCTGAGTAATCCGCCCTCCGGCGACGGTCTGGACAGGAACCTGTTGGGCGGAGATATTGTATGACAGGTGCTTAGCTGTATGACACTGACGAAGGGTGCCAACGTCAAGAGCCCAGATGCTTTGGGCAAGCAGTTCCATGGTTGCCACATCTCGGTTAGCAAGATTGGTCCTGCAGGTAGCCATGACCACAGTCGTCCAGTCGTTTCCCAACACTTAGAACGATATGAGGAGAAAAAGTAGGATGCCAAATACCCACATCAATTAGCGGTCAGATAGCTGGTTTTTTTCCCTCCACATGCCACATTCACGGTCACACGATTGTGCACATCTTGTGTCGACATACTCGTGAATCCAGATGAGGGGATGAATTGCAGATGCTTGATCCCGAAAAGAAATGAGAGGACCCCAACCCCATCTTGACGTCTGCCCAAGGGCATTCCATCTCTTGGTTCGAGAATACTGCAGTCGACACTGTGTGACGCTGTCAGAGCCGTCGCCCATAAGCGCCAATGAGATTGTTGCAGCCACTACTCGGGCATTGGATGTAACTTGTATCAAAGGCGACTGAGCATGGACGTTCCTCGCCCATGATGTGCTGTCATGCGTGACAGCTTTGAGCAGCCAACCGGCTATGTACAGCTAGTCACTGTCTGTCACTGGTATGACAGCCTTCACAAAGTGACAGCGCGTTCTTGAGGTGCGAGAGGTGTCAGAAGCCAGTAAGAGGGCAGTTTAGATTTGCCGCTGCCCGGTGTGACCTTTTCGCACTTAAGTTGACCGGCGGAAAGCCTGGCTGCGGGAAGTCGAGGTGGTTATAGTTGGTAGTCTCCAGGGGGGGCGCCTTTGCACCTACTTACGAGCTGTTGTGTTTGGCCAAACCATCATGTTCTGAGTCATCACCAGCCTGGGATGCAAATCCTTCTTCCTTCTCTTCGAATATGGATATTTGGCCCCGGGCTTAACGTTATGCCTCGAAACAGCGACGAATCCTATAAGGAGCATGTAAAGGTTCCCTCAGGGAGATGTCTTTCCTGTCTGTTTTTCTGTATAAGACCTTCCAGACCTAAGTAAGGGAATTGTGTCCCACTGACCTAATTGTCGCTACTTGACTGGTATTTCGTACACCTTTTTGATTGGAGAACTGCAATCGTCATTTTCTATCTCACGCTTACCGATAATTCTTTTCACCGATTGCTAGTCCTGCCCAAGTGTTAGCGTAATGTCTCGTTGCACGTTCTATCTGCTCTCCCTACACGGCTCGGCTTCCGACTTCAAAGCCTCCATCTCGACCATTTCCAATACTCCCCTCTTCGTCGGTCAAGTGCATCGCTGGGTGGCACCTCCTATGCGACACAGCATCGATCCTCTCACCACGCAGGGCTCGTGGGACGTCTTCTTGTTCTTCGCTGGCTCAGTGAAGCTGCCGGAAGCAATAGAAGCCTTTCGGAAAGCCGAATGGAGGCTCGAAGCCGACGCACCACCGCCGATGCTAGCTGTGTTCAAGAACACGGATCAACAGCATTCTCGAGCTGGACCGGAAGATGTTCCTGCCTTGACGGGAAGATGGGATCACCCGTACCAACCTGATCCAGACGCGCACCAGGAATTTGACTATTCGCCAGAGTTGCAAAACTGGGTCCGGACATTCGGCAAGCAAGAAGGGAAGAGTGCTGTATGGATGTTCAATCTCCTCGCCTACCAAGATGGGAAGCGCGAGACGTTCATGAAGTACGTCGAGGCGTTTGCTGCCTCTGTCGGCAAGGCAGTTGGATCTGAATCCCAGATCTTTGGCCAGGTAATAAGATGCTCCTCAACATCGGATGGTGAGGAGCCATGGGAAGATGCAGCTCTTGTGCACTACCCTTCAGTATATCATTTTGGGGATTTGGTGGGCAGTGAAGAATATCAGAAGCTGGATGCCAAGTACAAGGTTGGGACGATCAAGGATACCTGTATCTTATGTCTGACAGAACTCTAGAGATAGACATAGAAAGAGGGTGGCACAATCGATCTCGATAGGGGCCGTGTGTAGCATTTAACCGTCATCTCGGAGCATGGCTGATGTGTTGCCCAGAGGAATCCATCCAAGTCCATCCAAGTCGATCCGACTGGGGGTGGAAGTGCTGACTTAGCACCTCTCAACGGTAGAGGTCGCGGTTTTTACAAGGAATTTCATAAAATTCGAAATTTCAAAATTTCGACTAGTACAAGTTGCGAATCTACGTAGTAATTGTTTTCATCTCGCCAAGATCACGTTAGTCCCTATCAAGAATGCGCTCGTCCTCATACGGACAGCTTTGATCATGTGACCTGAATACCGGCGTGAGAATTCTCCTTGCTGTTACACTTAACGGCCTCAACTGCTTTAATGGATATAGCTCTCTTCTATATCGAAAACGCTCGAAATGGGCCGTCCTTAAGCATATTGAGAATTACAGAGCCCTTCGAGCTGCATTTCAGCACTTCGGGGGCCAAGGGAAGCTGCATCTAAACGACGCTAGCTGAAATCTATCTCGAAATCTCTTAGTTATACGTAGTAAATTTCCGTAAATTCCGGCCAAAACTGGTTTTCATCTCAGACCCCTGCTCAACGGCCTCGGACCTTCGGACCGCGAATCGTCAAGCATTGTGCCCCTGTTCTATTTCCTATCGTCATGAAGAGCAGGTGAGGTGCAGGAAGCACTGAGCTCATCATGTTTTTCTTTCCATAGCTGGCTTCTCTGTATCCCCCCTCCATCGGATATGGCAGGAAATAGCTGATGCAGTGTATGGCAAAGATGTCCGACAGGTCGGAATTCCGTGCCGAGATTACATACATGGCCTAACTCCTTCCAACGCCTGCCATCCTACTTGTTGGTAGGAGTAGCCTCCTCTCGGAGGGATATCCCCCATCTATTCTTCACTCTCAGGAAACCCCATTGCACATTTTAAAGAAAACACAACGGGGTTGCCGAGAACCCGACGGCGAGCTACAACCGATTAGAAACGCCAGATTGAACAGCGAATATCCGCACGATGGGCTCGCTCTCCAACCCACCCAGCCGCACCCACTCGCCCATCTCCTCCCTCCCACACAGAT